GCACTGCGGTACGTGTGGACGTTGATAATGTCGGAGAAGAATTTCCCGTCGATTAGAACGTGATCGATTTGGTTTTCTGTGTGTTGGTCAGGTGATCTCCAGGTGGCTTTGTGGATATTCTTGCGGGGGAAAAAGGTACTTCGAACTAACCATACCCCGAGAGGCTGCAAAGTTCACGCATCGTTGGCCGTTGTCGTTCGATACGGCATGCAGGCTGTTTGGCTCGATTGCCGGTCTATACATTGCCTCCCGTCCTACTTGAGCGTTCATGTCGCCGATGACGATTTTGACGTCCCGTTGCGAACAGCCGTCATACACCTGCTTCAGCTGCGCATAGAACGCTTCTTTCGCGTCGTCGGGTCTCCCTTCTTGTGGGCAGCGCACGTTGATGATGCTGTAGTTGAAGAAACGGACCTTACTCCTCAACTTGCACATCCTCGCGTTGATCGGCTGCCAACCAATCACGCGTTGGCGCATCTTACCCAGCACTACAAAGCCGGTTCCTAGCTCGTTGGTAGCTCTGGTCGAAAGAAGCCGCTCGATGCCCGCTTTTCCATACCTTTTGTCCCGTCCAGCAAAGTTCCTGCAGTGCTACGACTTCGAAGTTGCGTGGTTGAAGTCCATCGTAGATTAACCTATTGCAGCCCGGGAAGCCGAGCGATTTGCAGTTCCATGTTCCGAGTTTCTAATCGTAGTGCTTATTTCGTCGCGTAGGTCTGTGCCGATTGTTCCGATCCGTATTTCTTTCTTCAGTATTTGCAACTTTATGTTTTTTTCCAGGGCGGCCTGTCTCGCCAGGGGACCATCGTGCACAGCTCTGTTTAGAGTCCCACGCTGGCACTAGGATGGTGATCAGCCGCTCCTAACATGGATAACAGACGCCGTTGTGAGCCGCACCTCCATGGTGAACAGACGCTCGGGTTTGGTGAAGCATTTCCTCTATCACCGTACTATGGTTACCGCGTCAGTGTTCGCGTCGCACCTCTTCTCTTTGCTATTGCCGGACTGGCAACATTGCCCAGGCTACGCCACCCAACTGTGTCCATATTTCAGCTGGTAGTCTTTTGTTATCATATGACTCGAGGAGGCGTGAAGTAGGAACTTGTGAGGACCAGGGTTAGGTATTCCGCTCCTTCCAAGTTGTCAACTCACCATTTTGTAGCCCAGCTTCCAACCCCTTGGTTGGGAAACTACGACCGGTGTAGCGTAACCACGTGGGATAATTAAACAATTACTCCAAAGCGAGTCCAACCTCGGTACCGTCGAGAGACCAGTTCTCCATCAAAAGCTACCCTCACAACTAACGGGCCCTAAAGGGCACAAAAGAAGCGGTCTTAGGCCCGATTGTGACATGTGGCCTCTCTCTCTCTCTCCACTCCTGCTACTACAACACTCTTACTTTACTTCACTATACTTTTAACGGTTTTCAGCTTATCCAACTGCTCTTGTTTAAGTTTATTTGGCAAGTGGTGGAAGAAGTTTCCGTGCTACTCGCCGTTCCCTTTCTCTGTACTTGTCGTACTCATTCTCCTATTTTCCACTGAACTCAAATTGTTGGCTCATCACCTATTCCAGCAGTTGGTAGTGTACTGTCACAGTACTACTGTGGTAGTGTATTACGTACTAAACCTAGGGGTATATTTATTGGCAATTCTAATTATTTAAATTTGAACAAGTTTTTGATTCGCCTTGACAACAGTACGGTGGCGACATCTGTTTTAGTTTCGCGCGTGTGTGAGAAAACGTAAACAAACGCTGTTTTAAAAAGTAGTGTATTTGAAACAAATTTAACCACAACTAATTAGTCATAGTAAGATTTTCAACATTCTTATTTGAAGAATAGACAGCGTAGAATCTTTTTTTGCAAACATCGGTTAAATTAATAATAATCTTTACCTGTTCAGCTGAGCTTAAAAGCTGAGTGTTTTCTGCAGTCAGTATTTTTACATAATTTCAATTACTAAATTATCAATTAAAGTTATCAAAGGAAGATGCAAACAATGTGCTGAAATGTAGTATAAGACCTAAACAAATAGTTAAATTGAAAATTTATTGTGTTGTTGGTCAGTTAATTGAGATATCGTGCATTATTTTACAGTAACCATGGACGGTGGAGTGAGTGGCAGCAGTCAAAACTGTGAGCGTAATCAATTGCCCGTTTCATCTAAGCCCTCGCCGGATGGTGGAAGCAGAACAGTATGTTTTGTGCCTGGATGTCATCAACGCTACAGTCCAGGCGTTTCCCTTCATACGTTTCCGGGAAAAGAGGAAAAACAAAGATGGAAAGCGTGGGTGAAAAAATTGTGCTTAAAGTATGAACCCTCCAAGTCTTCGCGCGTTTGCAGTACTCACTTCAGTATTACGAATTTTGTGAGTCCTTGTAAGTATTTATGATACATAATATTGAACATAAATAAACAAAAAAAAATTGTAGCTGTGAATCGTATTACTGAGAGAATGATTCTCAAAAAATCGGCTGTTCCGGATACAAATCTACCATCATCAGACCAGCGACCAAAATTCAATAAGTTAGCTACCGACCGAGCAGATAGAGCTGCAAAACGTGATTCAAATAAAACCAGCGTTACCTTTGAAGAAAGCCCCAGAAATGCCAAGAGGGATGCATATGATTTTTTGCCTGATTTATCTCATCCAGTAACTGTCGAAGCAGGTGTTCAGGTTGATACTTTAGATATAGACCGACTCTTCATTGGTCGCCGCCAAACCATGGCAATACAGTTTAAAACAGATGCTGAATTGAACTCTTGGAGTGGATTAAATAGTTTCAAAATGTTGGATGCAATTGAAGAAGCTATCGAGTCACTGGTTGCATACAAGAAAAAAAATAATTGGATGGTGAGCTTGAAAGAAAGGATTCTGATTGTTTTTGTGAAAATGAAAACCAATCTATCGTTTTCATGCATGGCAGCAATTTTTCATATACACTACCAGACTGTGGCTAAAATATTCTACAAAACAATTTTGTGGATCAAAGCAATATGTGAACCATTAATTCCGTGGCCATCACAGGAACAAGTAAAAAAAAATGCCACATTACTTTCGCCCGCTCTACGAGGATGTCGTCGCTGTTCTAGATTGTACAGAAGTGGCTATTAATAAACCGAAGTGCCTGCACTGTCGCATCAATGCGTATTCCCACTATAAAGGAAAGGAGGCGGTGAAATATTTGGTAGTAGTCACACCTGGCGGTACGATCTCTTTCATTAGTCGTGGGTACGGAGGAAAGGCTTCCGACAAACAAGTAGTTATTCAGGAAGGAATTTTGGAAAAGTTAAATGTAGGTGAAGCAGTCATGACTGACAAAGGATTTTTGATTGACGATGAGTGCAGGAGCAGAGGAATTAAGCTAGTAAGGCCACCGTTTTTAACCTCCCCACAAACACAACTGAGTAGACATGATGCTACAGAGAACATATCGATAGCAGCGGCAAGAGTACATGTAAAGGGTGATACGGTCAAAATTTGGTCAAGGGAAAACGCGTGTAAATCGGTGAAATCGTTTATTTAAAAAATCAAATTAAATTTCTTTTTCAAGTTCAATTAGTATAAAATTCAGGAAAAATATTCAGTTAGGCTTCCGCTTTTCCAAATCCGAATTGCCGGGCCTTACGCTTAACCCCTGCCATCAGATTTTGTACAGCCACCTTGTCCACCTTCTTCGCCGCAGAAAGCCAGTTTGCCTTGAACTGCTGCTCGCCCTTAGCAGTTTTTTTGGTCTTCTTTAGGTTCCGCTTGACAATAGCCCAGTATTTCTCAATTGGGTGGAGCTCTGGCGTGTTGGGAGGGTTCTTGTCCTTGGGAACCACCTGCACGTTGTTGGCGGCGTACCACTCCATGGCCTTTTTACCGTAATGGCAAGATGCCAAATCCGGCCAAAACAGTACGGAACAACCGTGTTTCTTCAGGAAAGGCAGCAGACGTTTATTCAAACACTCTTTCACGTAAATTTCTTGGTTGACAGTCCCGGAAGCTATGAAAATGCTGCTTTTCAAGCCACAGGTACAGATGGCTTGCCAAACCAGATATTTCTTTGCGAACTTTGACAGTTTCATGTGCTTGAAAACATCTGCTACCTTTCCCCTTCCTTTTGCCGTATAAAACTCCTGTCCCGGAAGCTGCTTGTAGTCGGCTTTGACGTAGGTTTCGTCGTCCATTACCACGCAGTCAAACTTCGTCAGCATCGTCGTGTACAGCCTCCGGGATCGCGCTTTGGCCGTCGTATTTTGTTTATCATCGCGATTTGGAGTCACTACCTTCTTGTAAGTCGATAGTCCGGCTCGTTTTTTGGCTCGATGCACGGTTGTAGACGATACACCCAGCTTATTTGCGGCATCTCGGAGAGAGAGGTTAAGGTTTCGCTTGAAACTACCGGCAACTCTCTTTGTCGTCTCAGCGGCTTCCGGTTTTCGATTTCCCCCCGATCCAGACTTCCTGGCTGTCGACATACGTTCCCCAAACACTTTAATTACATTTGTAACGGTTGATTTGGCAACTTTTAGCGATTTTGCCAACTTTGCGTGCGAGTAGCTCGGATTTTCGCGATGCGCGAGCAAAATTTTGATACGCTGCTCTTCTTGCTTGGACGGCATTTTGACAACTGAAGAGTGAATTCCAAAATCAAAATAGGAGCAACATTCTACACACACACACCTTCAAAATGAGGGGTGTTCAGGTTTTTTAAATGCAAAATTGAAAGAAATACGTCAAGTTGATATTGACCAAATTTTGACCGTATCACCCTTTAGAACGAGCAATTCAGCGGATCAAGCAATTTGATATTCTAAGCGACAAAATTGATACAAATTTCTTGCCTATTTTGGATGATGTCATGATCATTGCTTGTGCAGTTGCTAATATTTCCAAGCCAATCCTGTCAAATGAAAGATTTTAGAAAAGTATTGAATAAAGGTTTCAGTATATTCAAAAAATGGTTGTTTTGTTTCTCTTGTTATAAAATAACAACTGTACATATAGTGTACTCAAAGAGATTTATTATGTGACGTATACAATATTTTTAAGAAGGCATTGAAGTAAACTTCTTTAAGACAACAAATAATTGGTTGTAGATATTCTTCATCATAGTGAATCGTCTGAACATAACACTTGTCTTCAAACTCAGAGTAAATTATAAAATCCGTCGAGCTACATTTCAATATGAACATGTTTAATTGCACTTGCAAATAATATAAGTGATTTTTCTTTAATGTTTTGCCATTCTTTGTTAAGTACTTCAATTTTTCTAATGTTTCATTGAGAGAAACGGTATTTCCAACCACTGGACATTTAACCTCAATGACCTTCGTTTCATCGATTATAATCCCATCAGGGGAGCATCCAAGCCAGGGAATATGTGGTGGGATTGTGAATCCACATTTAGTCAAAAATCTTTTTAAAATCTCGCATGTAAGCATTTATAGCCAATGGTTCACAACGGATACCATGATCAATGGCAAATGTGTGTATTTCTTTTGGCACAACCAAGTTGATAATTTTTTTTCTCCAATTCTTCAGCTTTTCGGTATTTGATGAATAGTACGTATACAGAGAATATGCGTTAGAAGCTGTAATCCGACGTGTTCTTTCGGTCATCCAAACTGGGGAAATACGTTGATCTATTGTATTCAAACAAATTTGAATGGATTCACTCTCTGAAACACGAACTTGAAGCTCATAGAAGATGCTGAGGTGTGCATCCAATGGACCAATAAAATACAAATGTTCAATGTCGGTTGGAGTATGCCGTTCACTGCAGAAAGTTGCCTTCAAAAATTTAGTTAATATTGAACTCTCAGATAAGTCCTCAAACGATATTAGTGATTCCATCGAAGCATCGGTAACCTGAAGATCTAAGAACTCATCTAACAAACTAACGTTCATAGTTTCATCCCCAATCGAGTTCTCAATATTCTCTTGAAGCCTAGGTCTGCCATGTAGTTCGTAGCATAGACTGCTATCAGGAAACTCTATAAAAAGTATCTATTGAAAAATTTAATTTTTTGCTGTATAATTTGACAAACTTTGTAAAAAAGAATCCAAAATTGAAGCCGCTTCATCTTCTTTTAATTGTATTTCGAGATGCACTTCGTTTGGATCTCCTGGGGTTTCAGGTTCCTTCCCAGAACTGTTTCGAGTTTTACGACAAAACTCACTAATCCTTGTGGCCTTGTACATATCGCCTGCCACCTTCAACGCTACCTTTCCCCACTTCTGTTGCAAATCGGTAACAGTCAGAATAGGGATAGAAGGATGCCTACAAACATAAAATTGTTAATAAATGTTTGGAATAGTAACACATTTTATCTTACATTAATAGATGATTTAGAACGGCCATTACATGCTTGCATTTACCTAAGCCAGCTTTGCACGAGCACTGGAAGGTCCAATTTTCGAATGAACATCTAGTACGAATGTAGATTTTGTGAGGCTCCGAGCTTGGCGACGATGACTTCAGGCACGATGCAAACAGTTGTAATCCATCGTCGTACACAGTCTGAAAACCTACCAGCAGCAAATGATTAGCCCTGAAAACTCTTTCTCCCTCGACGATCAATCTGCTGCCTCCGGAATCATAGTGCAACATATCAAAAAGCTGCACTTGTACGCGAATTTCGGACTGGAAATCGTCAGGTAGAGCCTCGGGTAGAGCCTAAAAATGTTGTTTTAAAATCATTATTTTACTTGACTGGAATAAACTTGTCGAAGTGAATTCCACTAATATGTTAAGAACACATCTTCTAGCAATACTTTGAAACCGTATTTTCAATCAAGTACAGATATTTTTATTCATAAATTTGTGAAAAACGTTGAGCATTTTTGTTTATTTCAGAAAACATCACTTGGAAAAATGGAAAAATAAAGCAAAAGCAATACACAAACTTTGATGCCGATTAACAAAAAATCATCTAGAGATGTTACTCTAACACATAATACTTACCATTTATCTCAATAAAAGTTCAAAAAATTTCAAAAACTCTGCCAAAAACTTATTACTTTATGCGCGGTTTGTTTACGTCACGCTTCACACATATGAGCTGTCAAAAATCACTGGTGTCAAGGCGAATTGCCGACTTTTGGCCAGATAATGCCATGCCATTTTGCCGCATTTTATGTTACATGATTGGAGCCAAATCATGTTTTGGTAGCTGCATGAACTAGATCTCGTTGCAGAGAGTTGATGCCAACGGGCTTCCACCACAAATGTCACTAACGGGCCATTAGTCACAATGAAAGTCATAAACGGTTCCCTCGCGGCAGGCATTCCGGAAAGCGATAGAAATAGCACCAACCTGTTAGCACAGTTCCGATCCAGTTAAATGTCAGCAACGGTAAAATAAATCAAACAATAAGCACCCATCAAAATTGGCTCGGGATCACTCAAGGCCATTAAACCATTACCTTTCGCAATCACGTACTTAAGCCGTCCGTCCATCCGTTCGTATGTTTCTCTCTTTTTTTTAAGCGCACATTCAAGTGGCTAACTTCACCCATCTTTTCCCTCCCCTTCAGTAGCTTATGCAAATATTGATACCCGGGCTTTTGACCCAAATTTAACAACCCATCCATCGCCGGCTTGCTTAGAGCACCTCCATCTCATCCAAACGCGAACAATGAAAATACTTGCGGAAAATGCGCCTTCTGCCTTCTGCCCGGAAAACGAGACGATCATTAGCGCTGTTTGATGAGCGCTGGATTGGTGGCGCATCACAGTCATTGTGGTCTCATCAAGCATAATTCCACTTTTCCAAAGCGATGGCACCCATGGGCGAGCGGGGGGAGGAGGTGCGAACGAAATTTAACCGTTTTCGAATCACAATCAAAGCGCTCTTTACCCGAAAGTGCACAAATTTCGCCGCTCGAAGAAGGTGGATGATGCTTTTTCGGTTTTTTAATGGAGTGAACAATTTCTTCGTTCAATTCACAACGAGGGGGGAAGGGAACTAGATTCGTCTAAACGGAACTTTTACGCAGCTGGATTTAGTCATCTTCTTTGCTTTTGAGGAAACAACAATCAAACATCGGAGTGCCTTGCTTGATATGTAGCACTTTCCGGATAAATCAACTTTTTTTGCGTGAGTCGACATACGGCAAATTGAGAACAAGTGCTTTTCGAGCGAGGGTCGTTGATGCGAAATTAAAACTCTTTGCTTAAGATGCTTTTTAGATGCTGGGTGATTGGAAGGAACAAACAAAAAATCGAATGGATCTGTTTGGCAATGATTGGAGTTTTTGCTTTTTTTTCAGTGGTCGAGGAGGGTAAGAACATAGTAGATGGAATAATATCGAACAAGCCAGGTGCGATATGGAAAGCTGCTTATGAGCAATTGGGTGGTGAATAAAATGAAAAGAACATGTAGCATATGACAATGGTGTCCAGTGTTCATATTCTGCTTCTGTATAGAGAATGAGCCAACCGTAAGCTTGACCAACTGTGAGATTATGGGAAATTCAGATGCCTTCACTTTCAATTTATTGACCCTCTCCCAGTAGCTTGGACTCAATGAGCTGGATTACCAAGGTGAAGCAATCACTCACACAACCACTGTACGATACACGCAAGTACACGCAAGTAGTGACGTCACTACTTGCGTTTACGTTGATTTTTTGGTTTACTAATACAACCCTATTTCACGATCTGTGCCACCTCTCTCTGTACCTCATTGGCTTGGACTGGTAGGAGCTATAGTCGCTATATTCATAGTCTGGCGGATAGAATCTCGGGAACCAATTAAACTGTCAAATAGCGGAACCAATCGAGCAAATCTCGACCAACAACAGAAAAGAGCACATCAGCTGTTGCGAACGAAACTTCGGAAACCCTTTTCTCGTGATTCAAGGCTCGCCTACGCAAACAAACACCATCTTTAGGTTGTGGAAAGTTTCCCCTATCCGATGAAGCTAGTAATTTAACTTCGATTGGCGAGGGAAGAATAATCCACGTTTTGTTTTTAAAAGTTGATAGTACTTTTTTAATTGTTGGTCTACAATATATTGAATTGGTACCGCTTTTTGATAGATCGAAATTCTATCCGCCAGACTATGAATATAGCGACTATAGTAGGAGCGAGGAGGGCTATCAACACTAGCATTGGGCGATCTTGAGGCAAGAATCGATCTTAGTGAATCGATTAATTTTTCAAAATGGCACAATAATGTTTCAAATATACGGATCTTAGGAAAGTTGGTGCAAATTAACGCCAAGTTCAGTCTTAATATTACGTTACATAAGCTATCTTGTTATGACATTTCACCTATAATAGTCATTTAGTGTGATTATTGATATCGCAGTAAATGTTGTGAGTGTAACATACATCACTGCTGGTCATTAAAATAGGTGTAGGCAAAATAAATGCAAAGTTTAAGGTTATGTTCATTCTACTTCATTTGATTCGACTTTAAAGTTAAGCATTTGATAGTGTAATAAAAATTAAGTGATTGCACTAGAAAACTCAAAGTTAAAACATTAGAATCATATATAAAATATGCGTGGTCAGTGAAATAGGTGTGTTGCATAAAACTATACTATAGTACAGCTTGAAAATAATCGTATGAGTTTTATTAGACTAATGACGCTTAGTAACCGCTGTGCCCTCCATTGTTAAGTAGAACCTTGTTCAATCTTCTAGGCATTGACTCAAACAAGCACTGAAAAGTTTCCTTTGGTATAGCATACCACTCTTTTTGAACTGTGGTCTATAGTAGATCCTAATTTGAAAATGCTTGACCAGATAACTTTCTTTTAAGCACGTTCCATAAATTTTCGATGGCGTTGATGTCAGGAGATTGGCTAGGCTATGAAATAACCGACACTTTGTTTGCACGAAACCATTCCTTTACATACTTAGAAGTGTGTTTCGGATCGTTGTCTTGCTGAAAATGCCATATAAGAGGCATCCCAACAAACAATTGAGAGCTCTTATAAAACACCTGAATTGATCAAACGTTGAATAATAGCTTCCAGAGTTGAACAAGACTGTAGTTGTATTTCCATTTGATTAAAAGTTTTAAAAGCTGCTTGGAGCACTCTTAAATGATTGTTTACGTTCGGTTTAACTATATGCTTTATAAGACCTACGATAACTTTTATAGCACCTTAGTTAAACTGATTCACAAGAGCTATACAGAACGTGGAATAAACGCATCAAAACAAACCATTGGGAGCTCTTATAAAACACCTGAGTTGATCAAACGTTGAATAATAGCTTCCAGAGTTGTACAAGAATGTAGTTGTATTGCCATTTGGTTAAAAGCTTCAAAAACTGCTTGGAGCACAACTCTTGTAAACAAGGGTTTTATAAAAGTTGTGGTGAACACATTGTGCAATTATTATTCAACATGCAACTGAACAAAATCAAAACGAAAGCGTTTCTTCAACTGGAAATTGTTACTTGGGCATGTTCTCTTCTGCATAAGGGCTAGCATAAGGGAGCATATCCTTCTCCATGATTTCTTTGTATTCAAATCTGATCAGGATGGAATTAATACGGAAAATGGGACCTACTCCATACCAAGAAAAACAGCTCCGCGGATCGAACTCTTTACCGGATGATCTACATGAGAATAAAATAAATGGCTACAGCTTTCCCCCGAAGAGCGTGAGTAAGTAATACGTACCGCGTAAATCGAATTTACGTAAACGGAGTACACGAAGCATATGGGATTAGACCTAATAGGGACCAACATGAAATATCTCGCGATCCCGGACATATAGAAGGTTACTGTCTTCCACAAAGTTGTTCAGTGGATCAAGACCTTATCGTTGGTGGACAGAAGTTCGGAATTTTCTCACTAAGCGGCGCTAGTGTACATGAATTTGTGACATCCTTGTTTGTGTGATATCTTGAAATCCTTGCCATCTAGGAAATTGCTTTCTTCGGCGAAGTTGTTAAGTGGATCAAGACCAATATCGATGGAATATGAATATTTTCGTAATCAGGATGACGTCTAAAGCCCGTAAATCAATTTCCGACACCATTTTGAAATCAAAAATGGCGGCTGCCGATTGCAGAAAAAGTGGGAAATACTACCAAATACCTTTCAATATGAATATTTTTGGAATCGGGATGACGTCTAGAGATTAAAAATCGATGTCCAGCTCCATTTAGAAATCCAAGATGGCGGCTTCCAGTTCCAGAAAAAGTGGGAAATACTGCTAAATACCCTTCAATATGTATATTTTTGGAAACGGGATTACGTCTAGAGACCGAAAATCGATGTCCAGCGCCATCTTGAAATCAAAAATGGCGGCTGTTGATTCCAGAAGAAGTGGGAAATATTGATAAATACCCTTCAATATTGGTATTTCCGGAATTGGGATGACGCCTAAAGCCCGTAAATCGATTTCCGACGCCAATTTTGGAATCCAAGATGGCCGATTCCGGTTTAAAAAAAATGGGGAAATAATGCCAAATACCCTTCAATATGAGTATTTTTGGAATCGTGATGACGTCTAGAGACCAAAAATTGATGTCCAGCGCCATTTTTAAATCCAAAATGGCGGCTTCCGGATTCAGAAAAAAGTGGGATATACTGCCAAATATCATTCAATATGTATATTTTCGGAATCGGGATGACGTCTATAGG